GAAAATTTTGCATATTCTCGCGGAGAGTCCGCGAGAATGCGGCAACTGCTCCGCAGCTAATCTATAGGAAACGCGATTGTTCTCCAAACATTCGTCTAAAATTTCGCTAAAGTTCTTCCGCCTGCCCCCGGCGATTATCTGAGCACGACTGCGCGGTCCTTCACAAAGGACCGCGCAGCCCGTGGGTAATCTCGCAGATTCTCGCGGAAAGTCCGCAGAATGCGGCCACTGCGCCGCAACTAATCTATGAAAAAGCCGCAATTGTTCTTCACGCACTCGTCCAAATTTTCGCCAAAACTTTTCCAAATATCTCGAGCGGTTCGCAAGAAACCAGAGAACTATTTTCCCGGTGCCCGCCTGCCCATAAATCGCATGACCGCCGGCCCCCGGCGATTATCTGAGTAGGCATCAAGCGATAGAGCAGCCCCCCTCCCCCCGAGTGTCTAGTAGCAAATGAAAAGCGCGAAAAGTCTTTTGCTGTGAAGGAATAACTGTCTAGCAAACCTTGGAGAAACTTTCTCCATGTTTATCTAAAAACTGTCTACCGTAGCCCTACAGTAAGAAGCTATCTTGCAGATCGGATGTGATTTGTTATGATAGCAGGTCGGATAACCCCGTAGGCAGAAATCTGAACATTTGATTTTTTTCTCGTTCCTCGCTCTTAAGCTCACCGCGTGTTTTAGCTGGAATATCAGTAATCTTGATTACACCTGAAACTTCGCTCACAAAGCTCTTAGGGCAACTGTTTACGAAAACCTTAGCCATTTTGCACGAAAAGGTTTTACTGTAAAGTTACAGTAATTAACGCAAGCTCGCAAGTTGGCCTGCCCTTTTCGCCCATCTGCTGACGAACTTGCCTGCGCATTCTTGTGGTTAGAGCGGTACAGTCGGAAGTTTTATCTATGCCCTCATCTGCACTATTTCCCAGATTAATCCAGAATTTCATCCCAAATCCAGAAACCGAGTTATTTTGGAGAAAGCTGTCAGGTTTCCTCGTGCGAAATGAATTTGCGTTTGTAACCAGCGTGTAACGCACTTGTGACATATTTCGCTAAAAACTCTATTTTTGGATGTGGGATATTCATGAGAATGTGAATTCGTAAGCTCATAATCTGGGAAATCGTGCAGATTGCACAAGTTTGTGCAGGCGGCAAGTTCTTTAGCAGATGGGCGAAAAGAGCAGGCCAACTTGCGAGTTTGCGTGACTTAGCTAGATCCCTCTTACTGTAAGGCAGAATAAATTTCTCTTGCAAAAGAACGGTGTTTAGCACGTGAGCTTTTTCGTTTGTGGAACCAGAAGCGTGGCAGTTTACACGATCAGCTCCCGCCCGAGGAAGAGGAACGCGCGCGTGTACGTTGAGGAGGCCGTTACGCGAGTGCTGTACGTTCTAGGTCAGGGAGATATGCGGATAAGCGAGCGTATCACTTACATCGTAAGGACCCGTCCACTCTGAGGGCGGAGCAAACGTGCGCGTGTACGTTAGTGTGACTGGGATAACTGGGATTTGCAACTCGCTGAAACCGCGTTTGCGTCGTGCACCGGCATATGATAGAGCTTCATTGGAGGTAGCGTTATGACCGAGAATCCTCATTCTCTGGCAAGCCAGTGCCAAACACTCCAGCATGCATCAGCCGATCGCAGTGTACCAGAGACCCCGATACACTCACTTTTGTCACAGACGTTTGCCGCGCCCTCCAGACGTGGAAACCTTCATAGACCCTTAGGAAAAAGGAAGGGCAGAGTTTGTGATGAGATTTAGGACTAAATACAGTGTTTGGGGTTGCGGAACGATATGCTAATGTGCCTGTTCCTGTCGAAAGTAGGGGGGGGGGCGCCCACGATACAGCGGCGGAAGCGACACCAAAGATACTAAAGGCACACTAGAGAGCTTCATCAAGGCTATGCGGAACCAGTTTAGTGTCCACGATTCCGCAAGCCAGATGAAAGCCTCTATGGAGCTCAAAAGCTTGTGTATGAGCAAGAATCTAGTCTCCTAGTGTGTGAAGCTAGAGAAACTAACGCAAAAAGCCTACCCGGACGTGTCGGAGGTGCTATCATTAGAACTGCAGAATTAGTCTCTCAACTAACCGATGGCCGGAATATTTGCAGTTCTTCTCTACGTTGGAAGCGCACCTAAGGAATCGGGTGTGAACTGGTTAAAGCGATGGCATCGCAATGTGAGCGCAGCAAGGAGGTGGTCATGATGAAGGATCAACGCGCAGAAGTAGCAACGCCACATGCAACACTAGAAGAGCAAGTGTAGAGTCTGCTGGTCCTCCAGACGCTTCGATAGCATATCGGAGGAGGCAGCAGCGCTGCTATAACTGTAATGAAACAAGGAATTACAGCTGCGAATGTAGCAAGCCAAAAGCCTCGAAACCAGCGAATGTACCCGAAGAAGCCGCAAGGCACTTTACGACATCCTTGAATAAGTGGATGTGCAATTTGGTAAGTTCATCGGCTAGGAAAATAGAGCTATTTGGTGGGCAAATAATCGCAAAAGTGCGTCTACTGGGACTAGTCCGAGAAGCTGTGCTGGACACGGAATCAGTCAGTATTATTCTTTTGAAGGCGCTCATAGCGAGTTAAAACAAAGGATTTGACCTAGACGAGGATGTAGAGGAGACAGATTCCGAAGATCAGCTAGATCCGTTTATGATGCCTCAAACAAGCGCATGAATTTTAAGGGAGCGGTGAAGCTCATCTGGCAACTCGAAAATTGCGCTAATTAAAGAATTGCCCATTTGTTTGAGCAGGCGGTGACAGAATTGTGCTGGAAATGAATGCACTACCTAAACCTGGATTCTGGTGCAGCCATCAAAAACACTCAGTAACACTAACAAGGCAGCTGTCCGACATTTCGTCCCACGAGATGCTTGCGAAGGAACGAACGAAGACAAAAGTTTGTGGCCGTGTTCATCAATGAACCCAGTGGATTCCAGAACCCATTGGGTAGGCTTAACCCACGGAGTCGGTATTCATGAAGCTAGTGGATTCCTGAACCAGTGGGTTTCGGAACCCACGAAAAGCCGCTTAACGGTATTCACGAACAAACCCCGTGGGTTCGCGAACCCAAAGGTGAGCATACCTTAATCACGAAACAAGCAAACCAGTTTTCGTGGGTTTTGGAATCACTGAACGGTGTGTTAGCGAACCCAAGCATGATGCAAATTCCGCAGTGAGTTGTATGCGAACCCAGTCCCTTTGCTGGACATTTTGTGAACTTTTATCAGTTACTACTAGCAACACTTTACAGTGAAAACACTTTGCATATTCTTTCAACTGCTGGGAACTTCCTTGGATAAATTTTGGTAAGATATTCACTGAGATGTATTACTATCAAACTACGCCAGTCACGATTTGGCAGTTTTCAAAAAGTCACAAACAACTCTTTAACGGAAATTTTGGGTCAAGCTTTAAGGGACCTGAGCACTTGCCAATGTTTGTTCATTATAATTTTTCTGATCTGCTGCGACTACAGAGGGAGAATCATATAGGGAGCAGAGCCTCTGCTTGCATTCATGTTTATGTACTTGGTTGCCTATATTTGTCCATGTTTGTTATGTTCGTCTAACAAACTAACAAAAATAATTTGGGTTCCCAATCCGATCAAATTAGCAGACAAACGCCTCAAAAAAAGAAGAAAAGAAGCGGTTTCTAATCAAAGTTGTTTGTTCCTTCAATTTCGTGGAGTAATCAATCGGAAGGGAACAAGGTAATCATGGTAATCACGTATAAGTTTGCATCATAGAGATTGGAACTCTGTTGATGATCCTTTGCACATTCCAAACCAAGGAAAACGGACTCACCCTACCATTCAGGCTTCCTCGCACAAGAAATACAAATGGACAAAGAGTGCTTCCTGCGAACATGCACTTTGTCACTGATGCTGAAAATTCGCTTGAAAATAGGAGTTAAAGAAGGCATAGGTATACTTGTTATGTATAGCAATAAAACTTAGCTACTCCTTGCACCATGACAACCGTTTCAATTACGCGGATTCGTTTATGTCAGCTACGTCGTGCATTCTCTAAAATATGGCTAACTAGCTGGCTTACCCGGCTCCGCCGTATGTTCCGAATAGAAAATTCCATTTCTCAACCGATCCGGACCAAACTTGGCACACATGGGGGTGATCAGCATGCTCGATTACCCCCTCTGCCAAATTCCAGCCCCCTAGCTCAAATTTTGCAAAAAATCGATAAAATCGATAAAAGTAATGCACGGTCTCGAAAACTAACATTGTATTCGGAATCCCCATGCTCACTTACCCCCCTTTGCCAACTCCCAGCCCCGTAGCTCAAATTTTGCAAAAAATCGATAAAATCGATATCGATCGATACGAAAAGTAGCCTTCGACACCCGCCGGGGCCCGAAGTGTATGTGTGCCAAGTTTGGTCCCGATCGGTTCAGAAATGGAATTTTCTATTCGGAACATACGTACACACAGACATACAGACAGACAGACATACATACATACATACAAACAGACATTCAGCTTTATATATAAGATATCTTCCTTATGAGGTAAAAGACACTGCCAAACAAGAAAGATCACTTGTACAAGAAAACGTAAATTCTTCTTTTTGCATCTCATTTTACATATATCATAGTCGACAATCATGATAGAATACTCAAAGAAAATATAGAATGAAGGAAATGCAAGTTTTGTAGTACAAAATCCTGATTGATGTCATTCATCCAAACATAAGTCCCGAAAGCGTACAAAGCGTGCTGGCGCTTTTGGTTAAGCGCGATCAGTGTGTGTCGAAAAATGAGAAAAATAGTACACCGACTAGAAAGGCACATTGATGACGTCATGGGTTGGCGAACCTAGGGCACTTGTGAATACCGATCTTACCCACTGGGTTCGCGAACCCACGGAACTTACTGGATTCGCAAACCTAATGGGATCCGGAAACTACTGGGTTCATTGATAAATACGGACACTGAAGGTGTTGTGATCTCGAAGGGAGTGCGTGACCAAACAAAGACTAAGATGTTGTCTGTTCGTGGAAAAGGCGTGTCAGAAGGAGTTGCTCAGCACTGCGATAAAGCTTTCTGTGCGAAAGACCTTCCCAAAAATCATGTCGAGAACGGCTTGGCATGCGAGCGGAGGAGGAAGGTACGCTTGAATCCTGCGCTGTGGAGCAACAACCTACGAGACATTTAGAGAACACACATGCAAAGCCCGCCGTAAATCTAATGAAAGACATGCTCGATCGGTCAGTGAGTCCAGACAAAGAGGAAGCCAAAGCCTACAGAGGCTGATACTGCGCACTGGGCGGATGAACTTCGCCGTAAACCAGTTTATCGTGATCTTATAGACTGTCTTGTGAAGGACAAGCTAGAGTGAAGTTTCCGAAGGTGTCACATACCTACAAGGTATCCGACTTTGCTTTGAACCAAGGCCTCTGTTATATGCTGGCGAGAGAGGGTTCAGATTCAGAGAGGTTGTGCCGCCATTTCAAAGAAAGAAGCTATCATAGTCGACAGTCACGATAGAATACTCAGACAAAGAATAGAATGAAGGAAATGCAAGTTTTGTAGTACAAAACCTTGAGTACCATTGGCCATTTGTATATCTTGTGCGAGGACGCTTGAATGGTAGGGTGAGTACGTTTATCTTGGATTGGAATGTGCAAAGGATCATCGACAGAGTTCTAATCTATGATGCAAACTAATAAGTGATTACCACTGATTACCTTGTTCCCTTCCCCTTGATTTTTACTCCGCGAAATTGAAGGAACAAACAACTTTGATCAAACGTTTTTTTCTGAAGCGTTTGTCTGCTGACTTGATCGGTTTGGGGGCCAAAACTTTTTTTATTAATTTGCTAGACGAACGTAACAAACTTGGACAAATATAGGCAACCAAATACATAAACACGAATGCAAGCAGAGGCTCTGCTTCCTATATGATTCTTCCTCTGTAGTAGCAGCAGATCAGAAAAATTCTAATGAACAAACATTGGCAAGTGCTTAGTATACTTGGTAAAATTCGAAATTCTTTTCGAATATCCGAATATCGAATTTCATTCGAATATCGAATATCATTCGACTTTTGTATATCTTTCGAAAAATTGAATGTCTATGTGATATGATAACATGGCCAAGCGCATGGTTTACAAGTACTGTGGGTCTTTGTAGTTCCCTTTTATGCGACTACTACTCTGCAGTGCATGAAGTATATCTCAGCGCGCTGCGCGGACTCTCTACATCCAGCCAGTGCTGTCGACAGCTTGACGACACACATATAGTATACATATTGCTGAGCTGTACAACAATTGACACACATACAACTTTCGAATTGGCACTCATGGCAATAAGCAATCTTCCTCTTGTTGGTAGTGCGATAGGCTAGATCGCTGCTGAAGATACTATAAACGTTGCGATGATATCGCGAACATCTTCACGTTCACGTTCACATCCATCACCTCTTCCGAATGCGAATGAAGAACAGCGTGCACTAGACCTCAAGCCCATCAACAAAAGTCAAGTCAACAAGTCTTTCCTATGCTTTGGTGCTTTTTAAAGGGTACTCAAAACTCCAATACATCTAGAAATCCCAGGGTCGGTAGTAATCCGGTCAAAACTCACAGTTACTCTGAGTTAACTCTGAGTGATATCTGAGCTAACGCGCACCTTTCTTACCCCCTCAACAAGCGCTTGAATTGATTAAATCTAGAAAGCGATGATCAGGAGACTCCGTAAGGTAGTTTACTCCTAGTAGAAAAGCATCGACGAAATCATCCTGCACAAACAGCGCCACCAAACGCGCAGCTGTCCTTTCCGATAACTCGGAGTTTGATGCGCGTTACAGTCTATCGTGAAACTCAGAGATAACTCTGAGTGGGGTCAAAAAACAGAAATAGTGTACAAGAGAAGAGGCGCAGCTAAAAAGTCTTACGGAGTACATTTTGCTCATACTTTCGCAGGCATGATTATGAGGGGGTATCGCGGTGCGCCTGTATCTACAAAATTTTGAAACCTTGTAAAACCTTGTGCAGGGGTTATTCGGTGAGCTGATTACGAGTACTCACTTTGGCACTCATTTTTCACTCTTTCACTTTGGGGTCATAAAGCTGCGTTACGGTGGGTTTAAAAATTTGAAGTTCAAGTTTAAGTTTTAAAGTTTAATGAGCTCATAAAGAAAGTGATAGGCGCTGTTGGAGAAAACCATCAAAATCCTGGCGTCCCTAGATAGCGAAAAATCGATAGCAGCTACATACTGTGACAGAAATGGCGCATCACGATTACCGTACAGACTAGTGGGCAAGGACCACAAAACATACACTCCCCTTGAGTGGTGTAGCTTGATAGAAACTTCTACAGTGACGTGCTATGCTTATGGAGCTCCATCATTCGACGGTCATCGAATATTCGAATATTTTATGCTCATTGAATGACTCGAATATTCGATGATCATCGAATGATTGAGTTGATGACGATCGAATATTCGACTTTCGGATATCATTAGGTTGATTCATAACTGCAATGCACGTTTTTTTCTTGTTTCTTTCTTCCAAGAGCTGGTACTTGATGTGTAATCAGACTGCTCAAACACTTTTTGAGCTATCCAAAAGAGCGTTTTTTCCAGTTTTTTACTTGGGCCTTCGCTTTCGTAAATCTCCTTTCGTTCCAAAGTTCTAAGCCTTCAAATAAAAGAGACTAAATCTTCAAATTTTTGCTTTTCACTCGTTTTGCCCTAAATTTATGGGGAATTGACCCGGATAAATTTCAAAAAATATACGTAAAGATTAGGAGACTTTGTGCTACAAGATGTTCTGAACAAAATATTCCATAGATTCTGAGCTGAGAAGTTCAATTGCGAACTTGAGATTGTCGCGGCGATTCCGTGCCGTATAAAACTTCAAAGCAAAAGGCGATTGCAGATCTTTAGCACTATTTAGCAAGGGTAGACCTAGTCCATTTGATGGAGAAAAGTGCTGGGTCTCACTTTTCAGCGGAGAAAAATGAGATGATTTCAAAAATAACCGATTTTTGAACCCGCCGAGATGCCAAAAAAGTGAGTACTTTCGACTTTTTCGCGATATTTTCTTTCAAGAATTTTTCATTAAATCCAAACTTGGCATTACTGCTCAAGAGACCCTCGGCTACACGATGAGCGAAGTCTGCTTTATCCTTCTTCATTTCAATATAAGTTGTGCTTTCTCAAAGTAGAGGCTTCTGAAAAAAGCTGTTGGCAATTTTCAGGCCAGATCTTTCTTGTGATAGATACAGTCATGCAAAAGCATTTGTTCTATAGCCACTGATTTGATGGTTACAGTAGTTTTTATTGCGCTCGGATATGTCTTTTCAAAGAGAATTTCGGTTGAAAGTTTAAGTATAGAAAACGTGCATTAATTATGAATCAACCTAATATGCGAAAGTTGAGATTTTCGATTATTCGACTTTTCGAATCATTCGCATTCAAATGACCTCAAAACTTGACGCAAAATTTCTGCTAAAAAGTGTTTGTGACTTTTTGAAGACTGCCAAATCGTGACTGGCGTAGTGCTAGTAATACATCTCAGTGGAATATCTTATCAAAATTTATTCAAGGAAATTCCTACCAATTAGAAGAATATGCAAAGTGTTTTCACTGTAAAGTGTTGCTAGTAGTAACTGATAAAAGTTCACAAAATGTCCAGCAAAGGGACTGGGTTCGCATACAACTCACTGCGGAATTTGCATCATGCTTGGGTTCGCTAACACACCGTTCAGTGATTCCAAAACCCACGAAAACTGGTTTGCTTGTTTCGTGATTAAGGTATGCTCACCTTTGGGTTCGCGAACCCACGGGGTTTGTTCGTGAATACCGTTAAGCGGCTTTTCGTGGGTTCCGAAACCCACTGGTTCAGGAATCCACTAGCTTCATGAATACCGACTCCGTGGGTTAAGCCTACCCAATGGGTTCTGGAATCCACTGGGTTCATTGATGAACACGGCCACAAACTTTTGTCTTCGTTCGTTCCTTCGCAAGCATCTCGTGGGACGAAATGTCGGACAGCTGTCTTGTTTGTGTTACTGAGTGTTTTTGATGGCTGCACCAGAATCCAGGTTTAGGTAGTGCATTCATTTCCAGCACAATTCTGTCACCGCCTGCTCAAACAAATGGGCAATTCTTTAATTAGCGCAGTTTTCGAGTTGCCAGGTGAGCTTTACCGCTCCCTTAAAATTCATGCGCTTGTTTGAGGCATCATAAACAGATCTAGCTGATCTTCGGAATCTGTCTCCTCTACATCCTCGTCTAGGTCAAATCCTTTGTTTTAACTCGCTATGAGCGCCTTCAAAAGAATAATACTGACTGATTCCGTGTCCAGCACAGCTTCTCGGACTAGTCCCAGTAGACGCACTTTTGCGATTATTTGCCCACCAAATAGCTCTCTTTTCCTAGCCGATGAACTTACCAAATTGCACATCCACTTATTCAAGGATGTCGTAAAGTGCCTTGCGGCTTCTTCGGGTACATTCGCTGGTTTCGAGGCTTTTGGCTTGCTACATTCGCAGCTGTAATTCCTTGTTTCATTAGAGTTATAGCAGCGCTGCTGCCTCCTCCGGTATGCTATCGAAGCGTCTGGAGGACCAGCAGACTCTACACTTGCTCTTCTAGTGTTGCATGTGGCGTTGCTACTTCTGCGCGTTGATCCTTCATCATGACCACCTCCTTGCTGCGCTCACATTGCGATGCCATCGCTTTAACCAGTTCACACCCGATTCCTTAGGTGCGCTTCCAACGTAGAGAAGAACTGCAAATATTCCGGCCATTCGGTTAGTTGAGAGACTAATTCTGCAGTTCTAATGATAGCACCTCCGACACGTCCGGGTAGGCTTTTTGCGTTAGTTTCTCTAGCTTCACACACTAGGAGACTAGATTCTTGCTCATACACAAGCTTTTGAGCTCCATAGAGGCTTTCATCTGGCTTGCGGAATCGTGGACACTAAACTGGTTCCGCATAGCCTTGATGAAGCTCTCTAGTGTGCCTTTCCTATCTTTGGTGTCGCTTCCGCCGCTGTATCGTGGGCGCCCCCCCCCCCCTACTTTCGACAGGAACAGGCACATTAGCATATCGTTCCGCAACCCCAAACACTGTATTTAGTCCTAAATCTCATCACAAACTCTGCCCTTCCTTTTTCCTAAGGGTCTATGAAGGTTTCCACGTCTGGAGGGCGCGGCAAACGTCTGTGACAAAAGTGAGTGTATCGGGGTCTCTGGTACACTGCGATCGGCTGATGCATGCTGGAGTGTTTGGCACTGGCTTGCCAGAGAATGAGGATGTTTCGATTGCGTCGAATTCCCTACGAGGATTTTCTCGATATTCATCATTAAAATATTCTCGGTCATAACGCTATC